TAGATATCTAGTCTGACTAGATCTAGATATAGATCGACAGATTTTTTAAAGTTTACAGTTCGGGCAAGCTTAAGCAAGTCTGTCCCTTTTTTTTTCTAATCGCATATAGCGCTTATTGAACGTATGTTTATGGAAGCTTTAGTGAAAAAAAAATGTGTTCATTATAAAAATGAATATTTTTTAAAAGTAGTTTTGCCATTAAAAAGTGTCATGTGAGCTGTGACGTAGGCCGAGTATGCTAAATGTGTGCGAGAAGCGGGTAGTGCGGTGAACAATCAGATTCTGCGTGATGGAGATTTTAAGTATTTTATATAAATTTAAGAAGAAAAGTTTTTTAATCGAGCCTCAATTGCTGTGGAAAAATAAGATTAAGTTAAGACAAATTGATACAAACTGCTGTGCAAAGTATGGGTGGCGGTAACCCGTTCAAGAGATATATTTGAGGATAAGTTGTGCCAGGAATGATAGATCTAGGGCCTATACATTGTATAAGTAACTGACAACGGGTGGGACCCAGGCTGGGTTGGAATTTGCAAAATTGGTTTTATGTTTGCTTTTGGTAGATCTTAGTCAACTTAAGTGTTTTACGGCGCTCTCAGCTGATATAGGGTTAGATCCATCTATATGGGCGCGCGGTACACACGTAACATTTTCAGTTTGGTAGGAATTTTGTCCGGGTGTAGGATCTACTAGATCTAGCTGTAACAGTGCACGCTCATTCTGCAATACGGACAGATGTCGCACGACCAATCTGATACAATTTGTCGGTGTGAGAAGATAGATAGATAGATATATGATAGATAGATAGATAGATAGATAGATAGATAGATAGATAGATAGATAGATAGATATAAGCTGGCTATAGCCGCTGATGAAGGTCTAATATTGTATGGCCCCTGTTAGATCTTCCACATCTCATGGAGTAGGCCGACAACGATACAAGTGAAACTATCAGTGATATTTAGTTAGACACTAATAAGGGAAATAACTATAATAAAAGAATGTAAAAAAGAACTAGCTCTAATAGAGTTTTTTTTTCATTCGTCAGCGAAAATATTTCGTGTAATCAATAATTAATTACTACTTGTTTCAAATAAAAATTTGTTATGCAAGCTGTATTTATCTATATTTAAAAGTTTAAATGAAATATATTTGTCCCTCTTTGTGTTTAAAAAATCCCATACGAAATCAAAGTAATGTTATGGTATTTAATAAATGATACCTTAATGACGTCATGCGATTAGATTATTAAACGATCAATTTTTATCGATCATTAACTATTGTTTGGCACCTCAATTGGAGGTCAAAGTTTTAAATTTAGAATCTGAGATCACAAAGATCACAATTTTCAGCATGTAAGCATGTATTTTTTTTCTTTTAGTAGTCGTGGACTGGGACTCTAGTCTCTAGGCTCTGGTTTAATCTAGATCTAGATTTCTAGTTTCTATATTTGTTGAGTTGAACACACATCCTTCAGCACTGAAAGACACACAGGGCCCTGAGACAGGAAACACAACCACACACACTTACACCAGAGACACTAAAATATAATTAAATACTCTCTGCTTACACACAAACATGCTCGCAAACACTATACATCCTTCAGCACTGCCAGACAGACACATAGGGCCCCGAGACAGGAAACGTGGCCAACCCCACTGACACTACAAGAGAAGCTATACGGGCCGACAGATGAACTGAGCAGGACGGCCCAATTTACGACAGATACCTATTCGTATCAGAAATCTATCTGCACACCATGAAGAATGCTTCTAGATCTAGCTTCTAGTACGAAGATCTCTTTGAAACTTTCAGTATTTCTCAAAAAATCTTTTTGACAGACTGCTATGCAAAGCGTACGGATCGGATTAACGAGTAAATTTCCTCTTTGGAAATTGGTGGCACAGAGTTCCCCACATCGAACAGATAGGATTAAGTAAGAGTTTTATGGCGCTTACAACACAGTTAGGTTATACATTATGTATTATTTAAATACCGAAGATTAGAGGTGTTACTAGAGAGTAACAAACACTCAAAAAAAGAAGGAGAGATCAGGATGATAGACGTTTGACAGGAAAGAAGGAGCAAAGCAAACCACACCAGAGCACCTGCCAACCACCCACCATTTCCAGATGCTATATCTGCAGTGGAAGAATGGAGTGGCGTCCCAGCCAACGTCTAATTTATTATGTTCAAGTTCAACTTTGATTGTAAAAATGTGTCAATTTGTAGAGTGTCTATAGCGCACAGACACACACACGCACGTGCAGACACACAGACACATAAAAACACATACACACGCACAAGCCTACATACACACACAGATAAAAAAATCGAGAGAGAGAGAGAGAGAGACAGTGACAGAGACAGTGACAGTGACAGAACCAGAGAGAGAGACAGAAACAGAGAGAGACAGAGAGAGAGAGATGCAAGCGTC